ATCATAACCTAATGACTAATTTACAACCTGACACCAATGATAGCTGCTAATTATAACTAAACCTCGTACAAGTTTATCTGCAAAACATATTGTGTTAAAGTTTGTGATAACACTTGGTAGCCTAGGATGAAGAAGGTGAGAATAATATTCAACATGTGACTAACTGTTTAAAAATCTTGGCTCTCAGCCAATAAACTACATCTCTACTGGTAGCTGCTGTCTTCCAAACTAAGCACATCAACCTAAAGTATATTTCTTACACTAGTGAATATGTACTTTAGAAGTTTAATAAAATTGAATCCTTTTTGGATAAATAGAAATAAAAATATAGTAAGAAGTGAACATTAATGCTGCTTCTGCACTTTTCTTTGTTTATCTTTAAAAATAAACAATTTTTTAAAAAACTTTCATAGTTTCATTTCCATTTCTTTTAGTGTGCTAGACATGTTTCCTGCCATCGGAAGCCCATAGGCAATTGATACATCACAGCTATTCAAACCACACCGTAGAAGTTGATGTCATTTTGAGGTACCTAAAAGTGAAAATGGATTAATTTTGCACGAAAACAGAGTACAAAGGGAGTTTGCTTGAAGCCGGTCAAAGTCTTTCTAAAGTTGTCTTCATCTTTAGAAAGCACAACAGCTGAAAACGCAAAACTGCAAAATATGACAGAGCGTACAGTTTTTATGAGTGACAATTTCTATACCCTACTCTTCAGATTAAAAAGACAACGCAAGTGGTTACATACAACAGAAACACCTTACTGCCATAATACTTTCGTCTGAAAGGCAGTACTGATTTGCTCTTAAACCTCCACAACAGAATAAGCTAGTTAGTTTGCCACTATCTAACACCTTATTGGTGTAGCAAGATATCAAGGAACAAATATTTCAGCCAGCCAGGATAGTTCGTTGGGTCATTATAACATGCAAGTCCGGTCACCAAATCAAAGTAGGAGCTGTCAGTTAGGAAGTAGCTGCTTTTTAAATTTGGCTTTTTTGTAACCACGTTACTTGAACTGCTGCAGTTTTGTGTAATGTTATGTGTTGGTTGGGTGGTTTACGGGTATGATAAAAACAAAGATTCCACGCCACTTCATATCCAAGCTTTCTCGCTTCCTTTTTAATTGTAATAATAACTTGTATAGGAACAAATCAATCAGTAAACTCCCTTACGATCGTTAGGTAATGTTTACCACACTGATAGGGAGTGTAATACGAATCCATGATTATAGTAATAATAGATCGCACAAAAAAATTAAAGCTAAATAGAACTTTAACAAGCCAATTATGAGGGGACTCAAGACTAATCCTACCTGAATTTGAGAAATACCATGAAATCCACTTTGTGAAAGCACCTGATCAGTATCCTTTAAATTTGTCGGGACGTAAACACCTGAACTTCGTGAACACGTACCCAATGTACAGGGCATGTTTCTAGAGGGATGTTCCTGTTTATAAAGCATTGCTTGGTAGGATGCCCAGAAATCTGTTAGCAACAGTTGGTTATAACTTGGTGTTGATAAATTACACTGACAGTGATGAAAACCAGCCAATCCAACAGATGAAGTCGATGGATCACAAGTTCTAAGTGCTGGTAAAGCTTGCTGAGATGAATTGTGCAACATTAACTGAGTGATTGCAGCATTCAACTGAGAGTTTTCAAGCATTAAACACCGACAAACTTGGTAAAGCTGGGCGACATTAGATTCCAAACGCTGAATACCTATATAGAGATGAGGAAAGCATACTTTTGGCATTTTAATAGTTTTTTGAACCTTTAATGGTGCGAATCACATCATCATCAAGATCAACATAGGACCAAGCATTAATGTGTAACGGTCCAAGTTGCTACATCTCACATTAGCATATCAAGTAACAAGGCAACAAAATGGAAGATGAAGGAAGGAAAAAATCGGTCAAAAGTAGTAAAAGAGAGAAAGGAAGAATGAGAATATGATGAGATTAAGTATATCGGTTAAGGTGAGGATAATGTGTATATACATCTGCGCCACATCAACAAGAGTCTTCTACCACTGGTTTGTCTTGCCCCATGAACCCCAACCGACTGGTCTGCATTGTTCTTCTACATGGCTCAAACCACCAGTCAAGGACTTCATGCATTGATGTCATGTTTTAGTCTGGCTGCACGTAATCCAGGCTGAAGATAAGTGGACCACTGACAGTGTAACAGCCACCAGTCGAATAAACACTTAGATCTCGAAAAGAGATAAAAAGATCCAGAAAGTTTGTACAAAAACATATTGTAAGGTAGACACTGATTGCTTTATAGTGTTAAAAAAGAAGCTTAGCCTAAATTTACTATCTTTTTTTAAGATGCGTATAAAAATTCTCTCGACTTACTAACAACACAAATTGATGAAGTACCAAAGCAGTCACAGCATAATGAGCAAAGTGTTTATATTCTGTGATTTTAACGAAATTCATTTAGATACTGTAGATTATAGCATTGTGAGACACAGAAACATATATTCACAAACAGTAGATCTTAATTAATGAATAGTTGATTTCATACCACTTTAGTTCTTCCAATATCTTCAAGATAAACTGCACTTTGAACAAGTTCCACGGATAACACAATTCATTAGACTTATCGGTCTGCTGAAATTCTAATTCCCTTCGAGATAGGGAATGTTGGATTAATGATGATGACATTTAATAATATTTCAGAATAAATCACCTTTATATCAGTTCGTAAGCAACAAAATTTGATGTGAGTGAAGAACTGGAAATATTGCATTCATTTTACACATTTATTACTTTTTATGAAACTGAAGAATACAATGAGAATACTATTCACAGAATAAGATGACTTTATTCATTTCATAGGATTTTACTCATTTATGCCTAAAACTTGAATAACTAAGTAAATAATTGCCATAACAAATATTAACATATCTTATATGGAGTGTTTTAAGATACCAACCAAAGATCAGGACAAGAAAGAAGAACCTCAAATTATAAATTCAGTCAAATCACATAGGTAAGTCACAGAGTGTTTGAAATGAAATAATCCCAAATGTTGCAACTATTTTTCATTTCAAACACACTGTGACTTACACAAATACAAATCATATCTAGTGTCAACCTTTTACTCAACGACCAATATTCACGATAATATTCGGTCAAATATTGATCACAGATCATAAGAACTACATAAAAGTTATAATATAAGGCAAGGTGAGGAATGCTCACGGATGAGTGAGATAAAATTCGAAGTAAGCAGAAGGAGTTGCTGTCACTATCCAACGAGTTCAACCTGATCTATGTGATCAAAGAAGAGAGTTACCAATTTATTATCATCCTGGTAATCAACGACTTTTCACTCTCTCTTCCAATACATTTATTTTGTGCTTATTCATCTCCATGTTCATATTGATTATCGTCTCATTACTACCATACTTTTTATGATTAAGATCATTTTGTCTCACCCATTTACCATTCTGTTCACATAATACATTCACATGATTACGCAACTCCTTCTGCTTACTTCGAATTTTATCTCACTCATCCGTGAGCATTCCTCACCTTGCCTTATATTATAACCTTTATGTAGTTCTTATGATCTGTGATCAATATTTGACCGAATATTATCGTGAATATTGGTCGTTGAGTAAAAGGTTGACACTAGATATGATTTGTATTTGTGTAAGTCACAGTGTGTTTGAAACACGCTGTGACTTACCTATGTGATTTGACTGAATTTATAATTTGAGGTTCTTCTTTCTTGTCCTGATCTTTGGTCGGTATCTTAAAACACTCCATATAAGATGTGTTAATATTTGTTATGGCAATTATTTACTTAGTTATTCAAGTTTTAGGCATAAATGAGTAAAATCCTATGAAATGAATAAAGTCATCTTATTCTGTGAATAGTGTTCTCATTACATTCATTGTTTTGCACTCAAAAGCCGGAATGTAAAACATGTACTACACATATTATTAAATTTTTCTTCACCTTTGAGTTCATCACACTAAAAGGTAACGAAAAGGTTATACTACAAGTAACAAATTTTAAGTGAAGTAGTGTACTTGAACTCTACTCATAAAGAGAAGATATATGACAATAAGACTCTATTTGCATCTCGAGACAGCTAACCACGAATCGATTCACTTTCAGAACTACTTATAAGTATGTCTGGTACGAAGATACTGATTCGGGTAGAACACTACAGAAACAGCCGATCGGTAATACCGAAGTAATGTTTTTTAAAATAGTAAAATACAATGGTACAAATAAGTAGGTGAACCAAATCCAAACTGTTCTGTAGTAGTACTGAGCATGAAAAATATGGAAACGTCAGTATAGTATTTGCACAGTTAACTTTTCAAAAAGAAAGAAAAATCCCTGATTAAATCAAATGACTAATGTAGCCGCCAGTACGAAATGGAGACCAAATACTGACACTGTTCATAGCTTATAACAGCCTAAACTATTCAAATCACTTACGGTCATTGGCTATGGCACATGATAGGTCTGACATTCGACCGTCATCAAAATCACCGCAAGTGGGTGCAACAACCATGTGACCTTGAATTCCAGCGGTTTGACTGGCAGAAGTATTTATGGATTCACTTAACAGGTTTTGTTTTGGATTTGGCCGATGATCCACAAAGTTGTTTGGATTGGATTGAGTTTGGATATCACCTGAATTATTTTTATCACGGGCTGGAGGTGATGGACTTCTTCCAACCTGAGGAAGAGATAGTTTATAGGGATCATCACTAGTAGATGTAGCAAAAACATTGTTGTTTGAACCTTCTATGGGAATATTTCCATGTTTTCCAGAGGATCGTTTGACAATTGCCTCCGGTTTTCGATCGATATCAGATGTATTGACAGCAATAGTGCTGATCTCACTTTCAGAATGTCTATTGGGAGCAGACTGGATAATATCGGAGGGATTTCTTCCGAGTACTGAAAGACAAGGGTTTGTTTAAATTAGAAAGATTTAGTCAAGCTTCATAAAATCACTGCTACGAAAAATCTCATCACAGTGATCAGATAAAAAGAAAAATCTAATAATTGTCTGCTGTTAACTAGAAACATCAGTCGGGTTACATAATCTTACAGCAAAAAAGCTAATTCACTTTTCCTACATGTATTGAACGCCAAAAGTAACCAAACTAGCACATCACCTTCAGTAGAAGTATACATGCCAGTGAACCCAATTGCTTGCTGCTCCTGATATTCTGACAAGTGAACCATATTCAACAGTATCAGAAAATCTGTTGGGTGCTGTGACTAAGTGCATAATGCATGTTTACTTTATGTGTAACACGAAACAACATAAACACCTAAGCTTCATTCATAAATTGAAATGGTTGCCACATGTTCATACATTCCCAATGACTCTGTGCCTGAAGACACAATAATAATAGGAGAAAACACAGAAACTTCAAGGTGGCAAGATTAATGCATAATATACATTATTGGTGTAGCACAATTTCGATAAGAAAGCGTAGACTCTATGACTACAGTTAGCACGACAACTGAAATCAGTGGTTCGATAATTTAGGCCTGAAATCGGTTGAGGTAGCACAAATATATAAAAATTCTCGAAACGTTACTATTATTATTATTATTATTGAACTACAGTGATTTTATCTCTTTCTCATTCCTTTCCTGACTGAGCTTATGTGGAAAATATGGTGATCGGGGTCGAAATGCAAATATATCACATCCGACATTCTCGATTTATTTTCTCCAAATCATCTGATAATAGCGTCGAAATGCTACTCTCATTTTTAAACTTAGCACATTTTTATCCAAACTAATACTAAGAAAATGAAATCATTCTGCACTCCGCTATTTCTGGCTCTAAGACTCTGTTTAAGGTAGCATTTACTGTTGAGAAGGGTACGTGTTCTGTGCTTACAAAAGTATCTCTCGGAAAAAAAAATCTTCCGAAATGTAATGATTACAGTGATTTACGTACCTTAGGTAGCATTACATTCACTTCAAAAAAAACCAACGTAATTGCCAGCGTGAATATTCATTTAAGGAGTTTAGTGGCAAGAAGCATAAGTGATAAACGTAACCCATCATACAGATGGAAAATATTTAGAGAAACAGAAACTTACTCAAGGGTAAGGAATCAGCAACGCTAACTCCATCCCCATTGTCACTAGCCTCTGAAGAACATGAAGGAACTGGTGAAGAACCACCCCAGGTTGCCAAGGTTGTTCGGTCTTGACTAGTTGCAACAGAAGCACCGCTACAATTAACGTGCTGTGATGATTTCTGCGTCCCAGAGTTCACATGATTTAAAATAGCTGAAGTACCCCGATCATGCAGATCCCGTTGTTCTTCTATTTGTATTCGTGCTTCCCGCATATTAACATACAAACGCTCTGTATTATCACTACAGATCACTTCTGGTTGCTGTAGGAGTAAATAAAAAGACAATGATACACAAATCAAAACATTTATGTTACGTAGTATAAAAATCAGAACAAAATTTCGCTTTCATTCAAAGTTAAGAATAAGAGGCAAAGAACACTAGCAGCAAACCGGTTGGCAAAACAGCGTATTGATTCACGTAATCACACCTTCAAATAGTAGGGAAGAAAAAGTCATTCACATTTGACAATTAAATCTTAATCGTAAAAGTGGTTTGATGCAACTAACTAATTAGATGACTCTCATATAAATCAATTAACAGAATTTCCTACATTTACAAACGAGGTGTGGATGCAAAAGAGTTTTAAAAATAAGTTTGTATCTGGTAGTTTTGAAGTACATCGAAACATTCACATTTAAACAGCTTTGTAGGGATAAATTAAGTTGATCACTGGTTAGAAAATCAGTCAGTGAAAATATAGAAAACTCGATTTTCCCATCAAAATGTCTTCGATGAAATAATGACGAAAAAACAATGAGCAAAAGTTGTTATGATCAACATCATTAATGAATATTGTTGATTGAAAGCTCATCTAATAATTGTTTATAAGGTGTTTCCTGTAAGTTAAAGGTAATTAATCAGTGTGACATATCTTCATTAACACATTCAGAATTTCTTCACAACCTTAACAGCATATAGTGTAGTTGTCATTCTGTTTAACGGTAAAACATGAGAAACTATAAAGTACAAATTATCTGAAGTATGAGTTTTTCGCTCAGATTATGGTGAATAATAACTACAAACGTCTAGTGAAGTTATTCGCATTGGATTTTGATATTTTGTATACGTTGAATGTCATACACGAATCTCACCTTAAAATAAAACAGAAGTAATAAGTATACCTTCAGTTACTAACATATCGACCCGACAAAATTTGATATATGTAGAGAATAGGAAATTTTCTGGGATAAGTAAAGATATGAATGCATACGAGTACGAAATTCAGTTTTTCAAATGAAAAGAAGCTTTCCTCTTAAATACATCAGGATATAATCATCCTTAATTAGGCGTACAACATCAAACACCAGTACATTCCAGTGCATACTCTAGTCAGCAACACTCACACGGTTTAAAATAATACCTCTCGTAAAAATATTTGAAGACTGTATCAGAACTGTGGTCTTTATCAAAATCCTTCAGTTTTTCCAGTCCTCTTTGTCAGGCATTTACAACCGAATGCTTAATGATATCCATATGACTAACTGAATAGCATCAATTTATACCATTACAGATTTCACCGTAATCAATTTAAAAATCGAAACACCAGATATCAACCTAACTCAAACAATAACAGGAGATACAAAGTCGGATTAGGAAAATATTCAAGAATTAAACAAGTACCTGAAAATTTATAGAGTCAGTTTTGCTTGGTAAAGCGGAAGACACGGATACATTCTTTGAAGGTTCAGTAAATTGTGTAACATTTGTTGGTCTGCTGATGTCATCTTCATTATTTTCAAATCTTGCTCTAGGTGGACAAATTTTTGGCAAAACTGACTGTGGAGTAGAACAGGTTTGTTTATTATCTAGGCTACCTTCAGACACAGTATCAACTTTTGATTCAGAATGTTGAAGAATTGGTGCAAATGCAGTAACTTTTGCTTCAGCTTTTCGAAGGAGTTGAAGTTGAGCCTTTAACTCCTGTAATTCGCGCTTCTTATATTCCAAACTAGAAAATAAGTCAGGTGAGATTTCGGTCACTGAGTTATCACTAAAAACAAAAAGTCAACAATAACATATCAAACTTCTATGAAATTACTTCCGTTCAACAAATTACAAAACATAAATCATATAATAACCCAATCCAAATAACGAAATGGTAACAGTACAAATAGAAAATTGATAGGAATGGTACCATAAAATTAAAACACCAAGTATACAAGCACAGTTTGGTTACCGTTTATTTTCTTCCGGAGCCGCAGTCATAGGAGTTGATTCAACCATATGACCAGAGGTAAGAGAAATGTCAAGAGATGCTCTACTAGCAGCTAGACGAACAGAACAAATAAAAAAGATATTACGGTCTCAGGCAACAAAAACAAGAAAGACAAAGACACACACACATACACATAAACACGGCTTTTATTAGAAGCAGCCAGTTAACTGTAATTATATATGGCCAATCAAAGAATTACCTGCTTTAAGGGACGCTAAGCGTCCAGCTAATTCATCGCGCTGTTGTAGCAGTCTAGCGACTTCCTCTCTTTCTTGTGCAGTGCGCTGTTGCAGTGCTGTCAGGTAAGCTTTCTGAGTAACAAATTCAACATCCACATCTTCAGAGGGTTCATTATTTTGTATACTTGTGCCTGTTGAGAAATATAAAAGTTTTGAATGGATACACTAGATATCGACTAAAATGGTTGAAAAATGTATCAGAAAATTTTCATGACATTCGAACCCTGGTATCTCACATAATTTAAAGGCCTTAAGATGTTTAACTTAAACAAAGACAGACGCTTACTTAATTCTGTACTGACATCTTTCGTCGTATCAGATTTTAACTGACTAACGGGCACAACTGAGCTATTCTCCTCATCACTATTGTCCATATCTTGTAGCGTTCCATTTGACTAAAAAGAAATCAAAGGTAGGGACTTAATTTCAGAAACCACATATATTATTATCTTATTATTACTATTATTATATATTATTATTATATTATCTTATCGCTTGAAATCTTGAAGTACGATGGACTAATATTATACGAGAAAAGTGCACTGCACTTTTATCAAACACCTGATGAAATACTCTATATTGAAAGGCTGAAATATAATAAAACTCTAGGCTGGACATAGTTATTTACTAGTTTCCATACGGCGATAAAAACGCACAAATGAAATCAATAAGTCCAAATCAATTTGGTCTATGATTGTGTACTAAGCCACACATTTTATGTGTGAAATTATGACACTGCTCGGTTGCTTAAACCAAGGTAGATGGGATGGGGTTTGAATCTACAACTAGGCGAGTACTCTCACCAATAAGCCACATCATCAAATATATATGTATACTTCCAGCTTTATTCACATCTATAAGGCATTATAGTAGCTAACTACTCAATTACCAGTTGAAAACCTAATCTATTACAGCTTTACAAATGAGAAACACAAAGAATGTTAAAGACTTTACCAGTTGCTGTTCGATGGTAGCTTTGACAAGATGATGAATTGTGTAAAAACATTCTTTGGTTGAATCGAAATTTCTACTTAGACTGTTGAGAAATTCATGAAAGCTTGAAAGCTGAAGGAAAAGAAAATACAGTCACAGTAATTTGTAAAATATCGATCCACATTTTTAATCTTTTAAGGAGATACTATACTACTTTCAGAAAGGCGAATAGAGTAGCTACAACGCTACATAGCAATGAATCAGTTCAAATTGTCACACTTCGCAACAGCATAAAAAAATTTCAAGAAACTTAGAATATGGGGGTAAAGGGATGGGAATTAAGAAATGGAAGACTAATTAAATGGTCAGTAATAATAAGGATAAAGAGTGAATACATTTCATTCATCTTGAAGACGTTTAGCTATAGCTTTCTAACACGTGCATAACCGCAGTCACGCAACTTACACTTCCAAACCAAACACAGACTGTGGATTGATGATATATCTTTGTCCAACAAACAGACAGATAGATAAAGTCAGCATGGAACACGGCACAGGAGTGCATCCATTCAAGTTGCCATACTTCACAACAGAATGCAAGGAAAAATAAAATGGTGAAACAGTCGTATTAAGGTAGACAAAAGTTTATGTCAAGAGAAAGCACTCAAAAAGTTAAAGGTCAGTAAAAGTGTTCAAGCTTTAGAAGACATCGAATAGTAAATACATCTGCGCCACTGTTACCGATTTGCAGGCATGCTACCAAGGATCTTCAACCATTCATTCCTATAATCTCGACGACCCCACCCCAGTCGGGTAGTCTACACTTCTCTACACGACTCATAACAAATCAGAGACTTCAAGGACTGATGCCATGTCCTGGTCTAGCCACCTTTAGCCTTCTCCCAACCCAACTCTACTTCCGTTAACACTGCATGTCGACGGAGGTGGTTGTTCGAAAGCTGCAGAATGTTCCCATCACCTTAATCGATAAAGGTTCACGAACTCACTGCGTGATTTAATTTTTTTGTTTAGTACCATAAGCCTAACCTAAACATCTATCAATCTGTGACTGCGCCAAAAATTAACAACACTTCGAAGGCAGCTGTGACCAAGATCTTGTAACGCTCTGCATTTTCACCTTCGGTAGCTACCTCACAATCGCAGAGTAGAAAGAAGCGAAATACTGTGCAATAACCTTAGTAGCAACACATATGGGTGTAGGTTAGCGAATTCCAAAACGAGTCCTTCATATCCATACACAGATCTTATGAGAGACAAGTGTGTTGACGCCGACACAAATTCCCAAGTGAGGTGGTACATTTAAACACCTAACCTATATGTCAGTGCAGGTAGACTTTAAAACATCATCTTATATATGAAAGCTCCGGAAAGTATGCTAAATATATACAGATTTTTACCTCAACGTGTCAGCTGCTGATTGTAATACTTGTGATTAAAACGAAGACTACCTAGAAGTAAAGATTTCATACGTCTTCTACATGATACTAGATTCAGCGATAAGTAAAACATTTATAAAAAAAACTGTTACTTAAACCAACAGAAGTGATGACAAATCCCACCACATATACTTAGACAGTAAATACTTACTTGAACTTTGAGTAATTCAGAAGAGAGTTGAGGTTCGCTTTGGATAGACTGAAAAATGGATCAAATGTTTATATACTGTTTCTGTGGAAATAATTTATGACAGAAAAGAAATATATTAAAATAAAGTGTCACCATTAACAGAAATTCAAGATAATAACGACAAGCTTGAGCTCTGTCTACAGTTTAGCCAACTGCATTTTTGATATCTTACTTCATATTGTGATTGCGCCTACATCTAAGACACAAACGTTTATTCTTAGCAAACGTTTACTTTGCAATAAAGAAAAAAAAGAAGATTATGTGTGCCTGATATCAACACTAGAGCACAAAAGGAACATTTAAAAAGGGAAGATTAATTTGTTGAAGAATAGCAGAAAATTAATAGGGATTTCTAATTTAGAAGTGGTATTCATCATGGACTGACATCAGTTGGGGAACCACTGAAAATCTGCGAGCACTGGACAGCTGTTTCGTCCTAGTATGGGATTCCTCATCAGTACACACCCACGACCTATACTAGGACGAAACAGCTGTCCAGTGCTCCCAGATTTTCAATGGTTCCCCAACTGATGTCAGTCCATGATGAATACTACCTCTAAATTAGAAATCCCTATTAATTTTCTGCTATTCTTCAACAAATTAATCTTCCCTTTTTAAATGTTCCTTTTGTGCTCTAGTGTTGATATCAGGCACACATAATCTTCTTTTTTTTCTTTATTGCAAAGTAAACGTTTGCTAAGAATAAACGTTTGTGTCTTAGATGTAGGCGCAATCACAATATGAAGTAAGATATCAAAAATGCAGTTGGCTAAACTGTAGACAGAGCTCAAGCTTGTCGTTATTATCTTGAATTTCTGTTAATGGTGACACTTTATTTTAATATATTTCTTTTCTGTCATAAATTATTTCCACAGAAACAGTATATAAACATTTGATCCATTTTTCAGTCTATCCAAAGCGAACCTCAACTCTCTTCTGAATTACTCAAAGTTCAAGTAAGTATTTACTGTCTAAGTATATGTGGTGGGATTTGTCATCACTTCTGTTGGTTTAAGTAACAGTTTTTTTTATAAATGTTTTACTTATCGCTGAATCTAGTATCATGTAGAAGACGTATGAAATCTTTACTTCTAGGTAGTCTTCGTTTTAATCACAAGTATTACAATCAGCAGCTGACACGTTGAGGTAAAAATCTGTATATATTTAGCATACTTTCCGGAGCTTTCATATATAAGATGATGTTTTAAAGTCTACCTGCACTGACATATAGGTTAGGTGTTTAAATGTACCACCTCACTTGGGAATTTGTGTCGGCGTCAACACACTTGTCTCTCATAAGATCTGTGTATGGATATGAAGGACTCGTTTTGGAATTCGCTAACCTACACCCATATGTGTTGCTACTAAGGTTATTGCACAGTATTTCGCTTCTTTCTACTCTGCGATTGTGAGGTAGCTACCGAAGGTGAAAATGCAGAGCGTTACAAGATCTTGGTCACAGCTGCCTTCGAAGTGTTGTTAATTTTTGGCGCAGTCACAGATTGATAGATGTTTAGGTTAGGCTTATGGTACTAAACAAAAAAATTAAATCACGCAGTGAGTTCGTGAACCTTTATCGATTAAGGTGATGGGAACATTCTGCAGCTTTCGAACAACCACCTCCGTCGACATGCAGTGTTAACGGAAGTAGAGTTGGGTTGGGAGAAGGCTAAAGGTGGCTAGACCAGGACATGGCATCAGTCCTTGAAGTCTCTGATTTGTTATGAGTCGTGTAGAGAAGTGTAGACTACCCGACTGGGGTGGGGTCGTCGAGATTATAGGAATGAATGGTTGAAGATCCTTGGTAGCATGCCTGCAAATCGGTAACAGTGGCGCAGATGTATTTACTATTCGATGTCTTCTAAAGCTTGAACACTTTTACTGACCTTTAACTTTTTGAGTGCTTTCTCTTGACATAAACTTTTGTCTACCTTAATACGACTGTTTCACCATTTTATTTTTCCTTGCATTCTGTTGTGAAGTATGGCAACTTGAATGGATGCACTCCTGTGCCGTGTTCCATGCTGACTTTATCTATCTGTCTGTTTGTTGGACAAAGATATATCATCAATCCACAGTCTGTGTTTGGTTTGGAAGTGTAAGTTGCGTGACTGCGGTTATGCACGTGTTAGAAAGCTATAGCTAAACGTCTTCAAGATGAATGAAATGTATTCACTCTTTATCCTTATTATTACTGACCATTTAATTAGTCTTCCATTTCTTAATTCCCATCCCTTTACCCCCATATTCTAAGTTTCTTGAAATTTTTTTATGCTGTTGCGAAGTGTGACAATTTGAACTGATTCATTGCTATGTAGCGTTGTAGCTACTCTATTCGCCTTTCTGAAAGTAGTATAGTATCTCCTTAAAAGATTAAAAATGTGGATCGATATTTTACAAATTACTGTGACTGTATTTTCTTTTCCTTCAGCTTTCAAGCTTTCATGAATTTCTCAACAGTCTAAGTAGAAATTTCGATTCAACCAAAGAATGTTTTTACACAATTCATCATCTTGTCAAAGCTACCATCGAACAGCAACTGGTAAAGTCTTTAACATTCTTTGTGTTTCTCATTTGTAAAGCTGTAATAGATTAGGTTTTCAACTGGTAATTGAGTAGTTAGCTACTATAATGCCTTATAGATGTGAATAAAGCTGGAAGTATACATATATATTTGATGATGTGGCTTATTGGTGAGAGTACTCGCCTAGTTGTAGATTCAAACCCCATCCCATCTACCTTGGTTTAAGCAACCGAGCAGTGTCATAATTTCACACATAAAATGTGTGGCTTAGTACACAATCATAGACCAAATTGATTTGGACTTATTGATTTCATTTGTGCGTTTTTATCGCCGTATGGAAACTAGTAAATAACTATGTCCAGCCTAGAGTTTTATTATATTTCAGCCTTTCAATATAGAGTATTTCATCAGGTGTTTGATAAAAGTGCAGTGCACTTTTCTCGTATAATATTAGTCCATCGTACTTCAAGATTTCAAGCGATAAGATAATATAATAATAATATATAATAATAGTAATAATAAGATAATAATATATGTGGTTTCTGAAATTAAGTCCCTACCTTTGATTTCTTTTTAGTCAAATGGAACGCTACAAGATATGGACAATAGTGATGAGGAGAATAGCTCAGTTGTGCCCGTTAGTCAGTTAAAATCTGATACGACGAAAGATGTCAGTACAGAATTAAGTAAGCGTCTGTCTTTGTTTAAGTTAAACATCTTAAGGCCTTTAAATTATGTGAGATACCAGGGTTCGAATGTCATGAAAATTTTCTGATACATTTTTCAACCATTTTAGTCGATATCTAGTGTATCCATTCAAAACTTTTATATTTCTCAACAGGCACAAGTATACAAAATAATGAACCCTCTGAAGATGTGGATGTTGAATTTGTTACTCAGAAAGCTTACCTGACAGCACTGCAACAGCGCACTGCACAAGAAAGAGAGGAAGTCGCTAGACTGCTACAACAGCGCGATGAATTAGCTGGACGCTTAGCGTCCCTTAAAGCAGGTAATTCTTTGATTGGCCATATATAATTACAGTTAACTGGCTGCTTCTAATAAAAGCCGTGTTTATGTGTATGTGTGTGTGTCTTTGTCTTTCTTGTTTTTGTTGCCTGAGACCGTAATATCTTTTTTATTTGTTCTGTTCGTCTAGCTGCTAGTAGAGCATCTCTTGACATTTCTCTTACCTCTGGTCATATGGTTGAATCAACTCCTATGACTGCGGCTCCGGAAGAAAATAAACGGTAACCAAACTGTGCTTGTATACTTGGTGTTTTAATTTTATGGTACCATTCCTATCAATTTTCTATTTGTACTGTTACCATTTCGTTATTTGGATTGGGTTATTATATGATTTATGTTTTGTAATTTGTTGAACGGAAGTAATTTCATAGAAGTTTGATATGTTATTGTTGACTTTTTGTTTTTAGTGATAACTCAGTGACCGAAATCTCACCTGACTTATTTTCTAGTTTGGAATATAAGAAGCGAGAATTACAGGAGTTAAAGGCTCAACTTCAACTCCTTCGAAAAGCTGAAGCAAAAGTTACTGCATTTGCACCAATTCTTCAACATTCTGAATCAAAAGTTGATACTGTGTCTGAAGGTAGCCTAGATAATAAACAAACCTGTTCTACTCCACAGTCAGTTTTGCCAAAAATTTGTCCACCTAGAGCAAGATTTGAAAATAATGAAGATGACATCAGCAGACCAACAAATGTTACACAATTTACTGAACCTTCAAAGAATGTATCCGTGTCTTCCGCTTTACCAAGCAAAACTGACTCTATAAATTTTCAGGTACTTGTTTAATTCTTGAATATTTTCCTAATCCGACTTTGTATCTCCTGTTATTGTTTGAGTTAGGTTGATATCTGGTGTTTCGATTTTTAAATTGATTACGGTGAAATCTGTAATGGTATAAATTGATGCTATTCAGTTAGTCATATGGATATCATTAAGCATTCGGTTGTAAATGCCTGACAAAGAGGACTGAAAAAACTGAAGGATTTTGATAAAGACCACAGTTCTGATACAGTCTTCAAATATTTTTACGAGAGGTATTATTTTAAACCGTGTGAGTGTTGCTGACTAGAGTATGCACTGGAATGTACTGGTGTTTGATGTTGTACGCCTAATTAAGGATGATTATATCCTGATGTATTTAAGAGGAAAGCTTCTTTTCATTTGAAAAACTGAATTTCGTACTCGTATGCATTCATATCTTTACTTATCCCAGAAAATTTCCTATTCTCTACATATATCAAATTTTGTCGGGTCGATATGTTAGTAACTGAAGGTATACTTATTACTTCTGTTTTATTTTAAGGTGAGATTCGTGTATGACATTCAACGTATACAAAATATCAAAATCCAATGCGAATAACTTCACTAGACGTTTGTAGTTATTATTCACCATAATCTGAGCGAAAAACTCATACTTCAGATAATTTGTACTTTATAGTTTCTCATGTTTTACCGTTAAACAGAATGACAACTACACTATATGCTGTTAAGGTTGTGAAGAAATTCTGAATGTGTTAATGAAGATATGTCACACTGATTAATTACCTTTAACTTACAGGAAACACCTTATAAACAATTATTAGATGAGCTTTCAATCAACAATATTCATTAATGATGTTGATCATAACAACTTTTGCTCATTGTTTTTTCGTCATTATTTCATCGAAGACATTTTGATGGGAAAATCGAGTTTTCTATATTTTCACTGACTGATTTTCTAACCAGTGATCAACTTAATTTATCCCTACAAAGCTGTTTAAATGTGAATGTTTCGATGTACTTCAAAACTACCAGATACAAACTTATTTTTAAAACTCTTTTGCATCCACACCTCGTTTGTAAATGTAGGAAATTCTGTTAATTGATTTATATGAGAGTCATCTAATTAGTTAGTTGCATCAAACCACTTTTACGATTAAGATTTAATTGTCAAATGTGAATGACTTTTTCTTCCCTACTATTTGAAGGTGTGATTACGTGAATCAATACGCTGTTTTGCCAACCGGTTTGCTGCTAGTGTTCTTTGCCTCTTATTCTTAACTTTGAATGAAAGCGAAATTTTGTTCTGATTTTTATACTACGTAACATAAATGTTTTGATTTGTGTATCATTGTCTTTTTATTTACTCCTACAGCAACCAGAAGTGATCTGTAGTGATAATACAGAGCGTTTGTATGTTAATATGCGGGAAGCACGAATACAAATAGAAGAACAACGGGATCTGCATGATCGGGGTACTTCAGCTATTTTAAATCATGTGAACTCTGGGACGCAGAAATCATCACAGCACGTTAATTGTAGCGGTGCTTCTGTTGCAACTAGTCAAGACCGAACAACCTTGGCAACCTGGGGTGGTTCTTCACCAGTTCCTTCATGTTCTTCAGAGGCTAGTGACAATGGGGATGGAGTTAGCGTTGCTGATTCCTTACCCTTGAGTAAGTTTCTGTTTCTCTAAATATTTTCCATCTGTATGATGGGTTACGTTTATCACTTATGCTTCTTGCCACTAAACTCCTTAAATGAATATTCACGCTGGCAATTACGTTGGTTTTTTTTGAAGTGAATGTAATGCTACCTAAGGTACGTAAATCACTGTAATCATTACATTTCGGAAGATTTTTTTTTCCGAGAGATACTTTTGTAAGCACAGAACACGTACCCTTCTCAACAGTAAATGCTACCTTAAACAGAGTCTTAGAGCCAGAAATAGCGGAGTGCAGAATGATTTCATTTTCTTAGTATTAGTTTGGATAAAAATGTGCTAAGTTTAAAAATGAGAGTAGCATTTCGACGCTATTATCAGATGATTTGGAGAAAATAAATCGAGAATGTCGGATGTGATATATTTGCATTTCGACCCCGATCACCATATTTTCCACATAAGCTCAGTCAGGAAAGGAATGAGAAAGAGATAAAATCACTGTAGTTCAATAATAATAATAATAATAGTAACGTTTCGAGAATTTTTATATATTTGTGCTACCTCAACCGATTTCAGGCCTAAATTATCGAACCACTGATTTCAGTTGTCGTGCTAACTGTAGTCATAGAGTCTACGCTTTCTTATCGAAATTGTGCTACACCAATAATGTATATTATGCATTAATCTTGCCACCTTGAAGTTTCTGTGTTTTCTCCTATTATTATTGTGTCTTCAGGCACAGAGTCATTGGGAATGTATGAACATGTGGCAACCATTTCAATTTATGAATGAAGCTTAGGTGTTTATGTTGTTTCGTGTTACACATAAAGTAAACATGCATTATGCACTTAGTCACAGCACCCAACAGATTTTCTGATACTGTTGAATATGGTTCACTTGTCAGAATATCAGGAGCAGCAAGCAATTGGGTTCACTGGCATGTATACTTCTACTGAAGGTGATGTGCTAGTTTGGTTACTTTTGGCGTTCAATACATGTAGGAAAAGTGAATTAGCTTTTTTGCTGTAAGATTATGTAACCCGACTGATGTTTCTAGTTAACAGCAGACAATTATTAGATTTTTCTTTTTATCTGATCACTGTGATGAGATTTTTCGTAGCAGTGATTTTATGAAGCTTGACTAAATCTTTCTAATTTAAACAAACCCTTGTCTTTCAGTACTCGGAAGAAATCCCTCCGATATTATCCAGTCTGCTCCCAATAGACATTCTGAAAGTGAGATCAGCACTATTGCTGTCAATACATCTGATATCGATCGAAAACCGGAGGCAATTGTCAAACGATCCTCTGGAAAACATGGAAATATTCCCATAGAAGGTTCAAACAACAATGTTTTTGCTACATCTACTAGTGATGATCCCTATAAACTATCTCTTCCTCAGGTTGGAAGAAGTCCATCACCTCCAGCCCGTGATAAAAATAATTCAGGTGATATCCAAACTCAATCCAATCCAAACAACTTTGTGGATCATCGGCCAAATCCAAAACAAAACCTGTTAAGTGAATCCATAAATACTTCTGCCAGTCAAACCGCTGGAATTCAAGGTCACATGGTTGTTGCACCCACTTGCGGTGATTTTGATGACGGTCGAATGTCAGACCTATCATGTGCCATAGCCAATGACCGTAAGTGATTTGAATAGTTTAGGCTGTTATAAGCTATGAACAGTGTCAGTATTTGGTCTCCATTTCGTACTGGCGGCTACATTAGTCATTTGATTTAATCAGGGATTTTTCTTTCTTTTTGAAAAGTTAACTGTGCAAATACTATACTGACGTTTCCATATTTTTCATGCTCAGTACTACTACAGAACAGTTTGGATTTGGTTCACCTACTTATTTGTACCATTGTATTTTACTATTTTAAAAAACATTACTTCGGTATTACCGATCGGCTGTTTCTGTAGTGTTCTACCCGAATCAGTATCTTCGTACCAGACATACTTATAAGTAGTTCTGAAAGTGAATCGATTCGTGGTTAGCTGTCTCGAGATGCAAATAGAGTCTTATTGTCATATATCTTCTCTTTATGAGTAGAGTTCAAGTACACTACTTCACTTAAAATTTGTTACTTGTAGTATAACCTTTTCGTTACCTTTTAGTGTGATGAACTCAAAGGTGAAGAAAAATTTAATAATATGTGTAGTACATGTTTTACATTCCGGCTTTTGAGTGCAAAACAATGAATGTAATGAGAACACTATTCACAGAATAAGATGACTTTATTCATTTCATAGGATTTTACTCATTTATGCCTAAAACTTGAATAACTAAGTAAATAATTGCCATAACAAATATTAACACATCTTATATGGAGTGTTTTAAGATACCGACCAAAGATCAGGACAAGAAAGAAGAACCTCAAATTATAAATTCAGTCAAATCACATAGGTAAGTCACAGCGTGTTTCAAACACACTGTGACTTACACAAATACAAATCATATCTAGTGTCAACCTTTTACTCAACGACCAATATTCACGATAATATTCGGTCAAATATTGATCACAGATCATAAGAACTACATAAAGGTTATAATATAAGGCAAGGTGAGGAATGCTCACGGATGAGTGAGATAAAATTCGAAGTAAGCAGAAGGAGTTGCGTAATCATGTGAATGTATTATGTGAACAGAATGGTAAATGGGTGAGACAAAATGATCTTAATCATAAAAAGTATGGTAGTAATGAGACGATAATCAATATGAACATGGAGATGAATAAGCACAAAATAAATGTATTGGAAGAGAGAGTGAAAAGTCGTTGATTACCAGGATGATAATAAATTGGTAACTCTCTTCTTTTGATCACATAGATCAGGTTGAACTCGTTGGATAGTGACAGCAACTCCTTCTGCTTACTTCGAATTTTATCTCACTCATCCGTGAGCATTCCTCACCTTGCCTTATATTATAACTTTTATGTAGTTCTTATGATCTGTGATCAATATTTGACCGAATATTATCGTGAATATTGGTCGTTGAGTAAAAGGTTGACACTAGATATGATTTGTATTTGTGTAAGTCACAGTGTGTTTGAAATGAAAAATAGTTGCAACATTTGGGATTATTTCATTTCAAACACTCTGTGACTTACCTATGTGATTTGACTGAATTTATAATTTGAGGTTCTTCTTTCTTGTCCTGATCTTTGGTTGGTATCTTAAAACACTCCATATAAGATATGTTAATATTTGTTATGGCAATTATTTACTTAGTTATTCAAGTTTTAGGCATAAATGAGTAAAATCCTATGAAATGAATAAAGTCATCTTATTCTGTGAATAGTATTCTCATTGTATTCTTCAGTTTCATAAAAAGTAATAAATGTGTAAAATGAATGCAATATTTCCAGTTCTTCACTCACATCAAATTTTGTTGCTTACGAACTGATATAAAGGTGATTTATTCTGAAATATTATTAAATGTCATCATCATTAATCCAACATTCCCTATCTCGAAGGGAATTAGAATTTCAGCAGACCGATAAGTCTAATGAATTGTGTTATCCGTGGAACTTGTTCAAAGTGCAGTTTATCTTGAAGATATTTGAAGAACTAAAGTGGTATGAAATCAACTATTCATTAATTAAGATCTACTGTTTGTGAATATATGTTTCTGTGTCTCACAATGCTATAATCTACAGTATCTAAATGAATTTCGTTAAAATCACAGAATATAAACACTTTGCTCATTATGCTGTGACTGCTTTGGTACTTCATCAATTTGTGTTGTTAGTAAGTCGAGAGAATTTTTATACGCATCTTAAAAAAAGATAGTAAATTTAGGCTAAGCTTCTTTTTTAACACTATAAAGCAATCAGTGTCTACCTTACAATATGTTTTTGTACAAACTTTCTGGATCTTTTTATCTCTTTTCGAGATCTAAGTGTTTATTCGACTGGTGGCTGTTACACTGTCAGTGGTCCACTTATCTTCAGCCTGGATTACGTGCAGCCAGACTAAAACATGACATCAATGCATGAAGTCCTTGACTGGTGGTTTGAGCCATGTAGAAGAACAATGCAGACCAGTCGGTTGGGGTTCATGGGGCAAGACAAACCAGTGGTAGAAGACTCTGGGTGATGTGGCGCAGATGTATATACACATTATCCTCACCTTAACCGATATACTTAATCTCATCATATTCTCATTCTTCCTTTCTCTCTTTTACTACTTTTGACCGATTTTTTCCTTCCTTCATCTTCCATTTTGTTGCCTTGTTACTTGATATGCTAATGTGAGATGTAGCAACTTGGACCGTTACACATTAATGCTTGGTCCTATGTTGATCTTGATGATGATGTGATTCGCACCATTAAAGGTTCAAAAAACTATTAAAATGCCAAAAGTATGCTTTCCTCATCTCTATATAGGTATTCAGCGTTTGGAATCTAATGTCGCCCAGCTTTACCAAGTTTGTCGGTGTTTAATGCTTGAAAACTCTCAGTTGAATGCTGCAATCACTCAGTTAATGTTGCACAATTCATCTCAGCAAGCTTTACCAGCACTTAGAACTTGTGATCCATCGACTTCATCTGTTGGATTGGCTGGTTTTCATCACTGTCAGTGTAATTTATCAACACCAAGTTATAACCAACTGTTGCTAACAGATTCTGGGGCATCCTACCAAGCAATGCTTTATAAACAGGAACATCCCTCTAGAAACATGCCCTGTACATTGGGTACGTGTTCACGAAGTTCAGGTGTTTACGTCCCGACAAATTTAAAGGATACTGATCAGGTGCTTTCACAAAGTGGATTTCATGGTATTTCTCAAATTCAGGTAGGATTAGTCTTGAGTCCCCTCATAATTGGCTTGTTAAAGTTCTATTTAGCTTTAATTTTTTTGTGCGATCTATTATTACTATAATCATGGATTCGTATTACACTCCCTATCAGTGTGGTAAACATTACCTAACGATCGTAAGGGAGTTTACTGATTGATTTGTTCCTATACAAGTTATTATTACAATTAAAAAGGAAGCGAGAAAGCTTGGATATGAAGTGGCGTGGAATCTTTGTTTTTATCATACCCGTAAACCAACCAACCAACACATAACATTACACAAAACTGCATCAGTTCAAGTAACGTGGTTACAAAAAAGCAAAATTTAAAAAGCAGCTACTTCCTAACTGACAGCTCCTACTTTGATTTGGTGACCGGACTTGCATGTTATAATGACCCAACGAACTATCCTGGCTGGCTGAAATATTTGTTCCTTGATATCTTGCTACACCAATAAGGTGTTAGATAGTGGCAAACTAACTAGCTTATTCTGTTGTGGAGGTTTAAGAGCAAATCAGTACTGCCTTTCAGACGAAAGTATTATGGCAGTAAGGTGTTTCTGTTGTATGTAACCACTTGCGTTGTCTTTTTAATCTGAAGAGTAGGGTATAGAAATTGTCACTCATAAAAACTGTACGCTCTGTCATATTTTGCAGTTTTGCGTTTTCAGCTGTTGTGCTTTCTAAAGATGAAGACAACTTTAGAAAGACTTTGACCGGCTTCAAGCAAACTCCCTTTGTACTCTGTTTTCGTGCAAAATTAATCCATTTTCACTTTTAGGTACCTCAAAATGACATCAACTTCTACGGTGTGGTTTGAATAGCTGTGATGTATCAATTGCCTATGGGCTTCCGATGGCAGGAAACATGTCTAGCACACTAAAAGAAATGGAAATGAAACTATGAAAGTTTTTTAAAAAATTGTTTATTTTTAAAGATAAACAAAGAAAAGTGCAGAAGCAGCATTAATGTTCACTTCTTACTATATTTTTATTTCTATTTATCCAAAAAGGATTCAATTTTATTAAACTTCTAAAGTACATATTCACTAGTGTAAGAAATATACTTTAGGTTGATGTGCTTAGTTTGGAAGACAGCAGCTACCAGTAGAGATGTAGTTTATTGGCTGAGAGCCAAGATTTTTAAACAGTTAGTCACATGTTGAATATTATTCTCACCTTCTTCATCCTAGGCTACCAAGTGTTATCACAAACTTTAACACAATATGTTTTGCAGATAAACTTGTACGAGGTTTAGTTATAATTAGCAGCTATCATTGGTGTCAGGTTGTAAATTAGTCATTAGGTTATGATTTTTTTATTTTCGATTCTAAGTAAATTAAATATTTTGCATGACTTTCTTCATAACCTGTCCAAAAATTTCTTGGCTTCACTGGACATTGAACACGTTTGAATTTCGAATAATACAGTTAGCTTAATTCAACATTACCATATTAGGAAGGAAGAGGAAACAAGATCAGGAATGGATCTCGATGGACACATGGAAGCTGATAGAGGAGAGGAAGATGGTGAAGCAGAAGGTAAACCAGTGCAAGGATGCACAACAAGAAGAGGAACTGAGTACAACGTAGCAAACACTACACTAGACAAAGAAGTGGAGAAGAGTGCACGCAAAGACAAAACACACTTCTACGACACATTGACAAGCGAAGCAGAACAGGCTGCAGGTAGGAGAGACCTGACAACATTATATCACATGACCAGGTTAGTATTCGGGACGAGAACAATGTAGACGAAATCAATGGGAGATAGTGAAGGGAATCTAGTTACCAAAGAGGAGAAACAAAGGGAACGATGGGCTGACCACTTTAAAAAGCTCTTGAATCTACCACCACCTGCAGCCATAGAACTACAAGTAAACACAAGCCCTTCGACAAAAGTTGAAGTACTGAACGACATAGGGCTACTGAAATGCGGGAAAGCAGCAGGACCAGACGGAATTCTCCCAGAAGCACTGAGAACAGATGCAGGGACAATGGTGTACCTGCTCACACCACTATTGCAGAAGGTGTGGAAGGAAGGGAAGGTACCTGCCTATTGATTGGAAGATGGGTTACCTTGTGAAACTGCCGAAGAAAGGAGAACTAAGTGTTTGCAAGAACTGGCGAGGAATCATGCTCCACTCCTGTCCACCCAGAGCAGGCAAAATATTAAGCCGCATCATCCTGGAGAGACTAAAGGATGAGCTAGATTGAAAACTACGACTAAAACAGGCTGGCTGGCTTCAGGGAGTACAAATCATGTGCAGATCAAATTGCAATGCTACGCTGCGCATCATCATAGGACAAAGTATAGAATAGTAGTCAACTCTCTACCTCAACTTCATCGACTTCGAAAAGACCGGCCTTAGACAGCGTCGATCGAGAAGTAATTCGGCAACTGCTTCAACAGTATGGAATACCACAAGCCTTTATCAGCCTCATTCGACAACTATATGAAGACACCACATGCCAAGTGATCCACAGTGAGAAGCTCAGTGATGATATCTTTGAAGTGAAGACAGGAAGGAGTAAGTCAAGGCTGTCTTCTATCACCGATGATATTCCTGATTGTGGTCAACCGGATCATGCGACAGACAATTGTGAGGAGAGAGAAGATGGGCATGTGCTGGCTGGATGGATAAAAAGACCCTAGAAGATTTGGATTTCGCCGACGACTTGTGTGTAGCGTCGAACAAACTCGAAGATCTACAGGTAAAACTGACAAGTTGACAGAAGAGGCGAGGCAGTTAAGACGGGATAGCAAGTAAACGTAGAGAAAACAGAGGTGGTGATGATACTTAACCGATGCCACCACCACCAACAAGTTGCAATCACCATCAACGGGAGAAACTTAAAGGAAGTACCCTTTTTCACCTATCTAGGCAGCACTGTTTCAACTACACGTGGCGGTGGCGGCACAGATAAGGAAGTCAAAGCCAGGATCGGAAAAGCAAGACAGGCGTTCATAAGCCTGAAGCCAGTATGGAGATCTTCCGCACTCAGCATGTGGAACAACATCCAGATTTTCAACACTAATATCAAGTCAGTGCTTCTATGTGATGGTTGAGAGACTTGGTGTGTCACGAAAATCATTTCCAACAAATTACAGATATTCATCAGCTCGTTACTGAAGATCAGATGGCCGGAATAATAAGAATTAGCAAGGAGGAACTCTTGCTGACAACAAACCAAGAACCTATCGCTCAACAAATATGCAGAAAGAAGTGGAGATGGATTGAGCATGCACTGAGAAGACTATTCGGGGACATCACGCGTCAGGCACTCGAGTGGAACCCAGATGGGAAACGGAGAGTTGGGCGTCTGAGCGAGGCTGACATGGAGGAGGTCGTATGAAGTAGGAATGAGAGCTTGTGGGCAGTTGTGGAGCCGGGTTCAAAAGACGGTAGCGAACAAAGTGCACTGGAAACGCACTACTGAAGCCCCAGGTTCCACTAGGAACCCAAGGGACAATAATATTTTAAGTTAGTATGACTTAATGATATTGATCGTGTATTACTCAAGCCAATACAGACAGCTTAAGTTTACTGGTATCCATTTCAATTTCAACTAAGGATAAAAAGACTACTGAACATCTGCATGACCTTCAGACATCACTTCACTAGCTTCTATAGAATTCATTTTTCTTTTATATAAAGTTGAAAAATTCAGAACTGTAAGTTTTCACCAAAAACCCAGCATAATCAACGTAAAAACCTACAACACATCTAATATTTGGAGTTGTTGTGCTTTTTGTAAAGCTGCACAACGGAATAAATTACTGCAAAAGATTTTAGACAATGTACTTTATTACTGATAAATATCCAAACCATAGTTGTTACGAATGTTTTGAAGAAGTTATGGCATAGACAGCGAAAAGTTCAGAAAAATTTTATTTTCGATTTTTTAAATATGTTGAGATTATATTAAAATTTACTTATGTAACGTACTTTATAACTGTTTGTGAACACATTATTGTGGGGCCCATTTCTGTAATCTACACTCCGTCTTCATTAACGGTCACACTTTATAATCTGTCATTTTTTTCTAACCACCATTTGATTTCCTCTAATCTTCCCTTTTTTTTATGTATGCGATGACTTCAATATAATTGTTTGATTGATGTATGTATTGGTTGGAAACTTAATACTTGTAATTAGCAGTCTGTTTTTTTATTTTACCTCACTTCTCTCTCTCCTACCTGGATAGTTAAATAATTTAATCCTCACGGGAAAAGTGATTAGAGTCAACCTATCAACACTTACTAGTGGATTTATCTGACGTTTTTAAATCAGCTAGTCTTCAGATCCAGGAAGTGTAGATTTCAAACGTTTCAGATGCTTAGATTAATTCATTAATCATAGTGTTTTTTCTTTTTTTCAGCTGCTTATCAATCAAATTATGCAACAGCAGACTAACCTTTCACAGTTACAATCGGAACTTCATCGCCTAACACGATTGCAAACGGAAATAAAGCAATCACTTCTTTCTAATGATGTACAGTTAAATAACCCTCATCTATCTTATCTAGAAAATCCAAATGTTTTCGCACATTTGCTGCCTGTTAATGGAGGATTTCTGTCGTCTACTGCCAACGGATCCACTGGTCATCAGAATACTGTCTTGAAAGCTACTAATTCTCCTCAAATGCTTGGAAATTCTTTCATGTTGCCTCGAAATATACCAGTGAATAATTGGTCATTCGTTCCTGACCCTAATGTCTACCAGTATTCAAAAGAATCAACATCTTCAAACATGGGTAATATGAAGTACTTTTACTTTTTTATAATGGCTGGGTTCCAGTCAGTTGTAGGATTGTATTATTTAACGAACGGGAAATTCCTACATTAACTCCCAAAAAAGGACGTAGCAGCCAAGAAAATTTTCTTTTGGACGATTTCACTCGCTAAAGTTGTATAATCGTATTTAAAATCATTGAAAACAAACAAAAGCCTCCTTTTAATCAGTAGAGAAACGACTACTCTAACCATGATAAGATACGTACTACTTTTGAACGCACAGTTCAGGTTGTGAATTGTCGATTATTTAGCCATGTATGCATGACCCAGTGGAAGTCCTTTGGAATTGTAGGGAGTTACTGTGTAAATTACTTTGAAGGAGCTACTGGGAACGGTCGGATGTTCGATGATGACAAGGTGTTCATGAATAGAACTGTTGATATATATTTCTCTCTTTTGGATAACGACTGAAATAGCCACTTAGATCTCCTTATTTCGTTTAAAAAGGCGGATTTTCATTTTATATATATATATATATATATATATATTTTAAGGATTTCGGGTTTATTGTTGTATATCTGGACAGTAGTACTACATATCATGCAAACATAATGCCGTAAGACTTCTCAAAGCATTGCCAAACCTATGGTGTATAATTTCATATAGTTTCATTGGCCGTGTTTGTGTAACAACATACCACCCCTGATGAAGCGTATATACGTTGTCCGAGACCCTGATGAAAGTAGCACATTAATAAAGTAGGATGAAGCTGTTGTTCAGTACGTAACAGGTCCTGGCGATGGTTTTATGCATTTTCTGTTTATTATTTCCTCTACTAATTCTTATTGAAGATGAAACTCGTTGGCTGTAACTGATTAATCTCAGTGTTTAAAAGTTAACAGGTAATATTATCGTGATGCTAACATTGAATTTAGGTTTTCCGGCAGTGTAACTTATTACCGTGATTAATTGAATTTTAAATTCAGGTCAGAAAGTGACTGTACAAACAAGCTCATCCATGCCAGGGAATCTTTTACCGGTCGATCCCAGTGTTAATTCTACTTCACCTCATGGTTCTTCAGTTAGTCAAAATAACCTCGGTAAGTTTTTTAAATGTTAGACATGAAATAAGAATTTTTCAACTTGGTATTCATCATGGACTGACATCAGTTAAAGGAACAATGGAAACCTGGGAGCACTGGACAGCTGTTTCGTCCTAGTATTAGACTCCTCAGCGTTGGATTCCGACCCAGTGGCTCAGTGGTAACATGCTGGCCATGGAACCTGAAAGTCCTGGGTCCGGTCCCTGGCGGGGTCATAGGTGCGTACTGCTGACTTTCTGTTGAATTGGATTAGATACATTTATATAGTCATTGGGGAGTAACCAATTTCATTTTGCAGTACGATTGTCAAGCTAACGGGCTCACTATTGCGGTGCACTTTGGTGGATTTTAATAGGTTGCAGGCAGTCTGCAGAAATCCGTGAACCTAAGTTTCGTGGTTATTGGTGCTCTTCAGTCAGGAATAACTTTTTAACTGAAATCTTTGGTTCCAGCAGATCATGCACAATTTAAGTATTGCATGTAACTATAACTCATGGTGAAATTGGCAGAAACACCCTACGGTTATCAGTTTTAGATAAAAGTTAATGTCATACTGTTATGTTCGAATGCACTGAATAGTAGTTATTACCTTTTGTAAACTGAAAATGTCGCTAAGTATTTGTTGATCGTTTGACTGTAGTTATCCTCCGTATAGTGCATGCATTTATGTTGTGGAAAAATAATCATAAGTAGCACTAGTAGTACTGTCACGTATTAGTTTGTTAAACATCTTTGTATATATATATATATATATATATATATATATATATATATATATATGCCTAGTCTAATCCATCAGATGCTCTGATGATGTTCTTGTGACTCTATGTTTCTGGGTCCATAAAGGCGATGGATGGCATAGTACTCTATTTTATGGTCGTGTGAGAGGTTCGTAGATATTCAAACAGCTGTGTATGGCTATTTTACTTGGAATCTTTCGTGACGACTGTAATGTATTTCATATCTGATCAGTTTAAACACTTCGGCGAAAACTTGTTTCCCAATCTTTATACACTTTGATACGCGCTAAGGGATGTAGTTAGTTAAGTTGTGACCTAGCAAAAATATTTTAAAACACAACTTTGGGGAGAATGAACTTTTATAAAGAAAACCAAGCAGTGTCTTCAAAAATCCAATTCCTGATATCTTCTCCCGAAGAAATTGAGGAAGTGGTTAGGAAATCTGCGGAAAAATAAAAAATTAGTCACGACGTATTTGAGCTAACATGCTGGATTACATCGACAAATGTTTACTCATTCTTATTATAATTGCTTGTAGTATGCTGTCGTTGACTGGACCGAATTGGTCGGTCTCTATTGGCATATGGGCTTCTGTGTGGATGCCTCGATATTAGCTTTGTTCTAATTATAGTAATGATGGATAGTGGCTAGCAGTGGAATCCACGACGGTATACTACAAGCAGTTATACTAAAACTATACCCGTCATACAAGAAGAAGCTATCGTGCCTCGGTTTTGTAGTGTATAACGTTCTGGCGTTCGAAGCGATCGCTCCCCAGTCCGAATGCCGGTAAAAACAAAATCACACCGGGAGACAGGTATATCCAGCTGACGAGTCCCAAATAAGACCAAATCCGTTTCCTGAATTCCACTGCTGGCCACTGTCCACCATTACTATAATTAGTTTGCTCACTCTCCCTAGTGTTATGGCATGAGGCCGGAAACCCGGTGACGGCCGATTCACCTTCAATCATCACTGAGTATATATATATATATATATATATATATATATATATATATATATATATATATATATATATATATATATATATATATAGCACTGGATGGGACTTATTATTGTGATGAATTGTAAATTAGCATCGACAATAGGTTGGATTTACAAAGTTCTGTTTTCTCTCGAGAGACATGATCTCATCTCGTAGCAGGTAGAGAAAACTGCAATATTTTTGTGGAAAAGGCCAATCACAATTATAAATGTCAATATAAAGTAGTATTTCTTCCACAAAAGTTATAATTACTATTTGTGATGCCTCACTGAGCGGAGATAACTAGGCCTTATTAACTTGTAATTTCCTGGATTCTATTGCTAGCCATCACCAAGCCATTTATAGCAAATAATATTAGATGAACATGTTATATACCTGATTATTGTAAGATTTTTTGCCCTCTGATTACGATTTACAGTATCCACACGTTGATATATGATATAAACTTGCCTTTACATCCCACTCTATTCTGTTCACTAAACTTGATATTATCGTAGTCATATTTTTATAACAGTATTATTAGCTTTAAACAATACATTCCCCTCTACTTTCTTACTTTTTTTGATTCTGTAGGTTTCAGTAGACAAAACTGATCATAGATACGGAAATTTTCCATCGTAAAGTTGATCTCATCCAGTAATACATTTTTCAAACGGTTGACTTTCTCGCATTTAGTTCTAACATTTTCTCCATTTCACCTATTTTTGCAGACAAATAGTATTTCTGCTATGTTACATTTTTCTCGGTGAACACATGTTAGCTTTTTATTGCTGAACTGCTTCTATGCTTTTCGGAGTGTTATCTGACTAGTACTGTTTACAATATCCTATGTTTGTTAGAACATACCTTTGACAGGAAATTGATGTATGACAGTTCTTTCCCCATTGTTTGCAATTTTCAAATTCTCCTTTTTTTTTCCTAATAGACAAAATAGATAAAATTGAGTTCCTAGGCATCATTTTACAGGTCATCTCTTCTATGTCTTTTATAATTTTGAACCATGTTCAATGATATATTGACAGTGAATGAAAATGAAATGTAAATTCCGTATAACAGTCCTAGAGTTCTACTATTTGGCGTTGTGTACAATCACTACATTATGTGATTGTTCTTTATTAGGTCATTATTATGAAATACAATGAATTACCCACACTTCAAAATTATCTGAGTACTTTTTGACGGACTCTATTTTGTCTTGAATTAACACAGATGCTTAAAGTATGAAATATAGTTGTACAATTTAGTTAGTACTAATTTTCTCCTCAGCACTTACCAGTTGATACGTTATTTCGATCGCACAAATTGACTTTCTTCGTAGAGTTATCCGTATTGCAGAGTCGTTTTGTGTACTGTCGTAATTCCGTTGTGTCAGATCAAATAAATAACTTGTTTAAAACTGCAGAGAAGTTGGTCAGAAAATAATCTGACGAAGAGGAATGCACGGAAGTTGGAAATAGTTGCGTAAATGCTGAATTGTACAGAGTAGTTTTGTACAAGAAATCAATGTTGGAGAATCGACTAAACCTAGTACACTTATTCGCTAGTGAATAAAGTTCTTACAATCCAGCGTTATGCCATACTTTCCCCTTTGCTCATTATTAAGTAATATATATTGTAGGAAGCAGGTGTTCTGGATTCGGCTTCCAGATAAAGCAGTGCACTACTAGAATTTCAAATGTTGAATTGCGAATTTTATTTCTGTACTACTTGAGTTTTGTAGTCTCTACGTTAAGTAAAAAAGAGTTGAATACTATTTATAGTAATACGTAGTCTGTTAGCGGTATGTGCTGTTCTTAAAATAAGTGACTATATGTTGTTTTATACTTCAATCCACATCACACCGATTTGTCAGATTTCCTGCCCTATGAAAATTTCTTGACGAAACTGGTTTACTTATAAGTAATTCAGATAGAACACCTAAAATATCAAGATTTGAATATGGTAAACCTATTATTGTCTTATCTTTCATTCCGTTCCATGTTTGTAGAGGTTTGTATCTTTTGGTACCAGTTAAATTCATTCTACTCAAATTTACGGTTCATATTTTAAGTTAAACAAAAGGATTATAATAAAGAGAACCAAACATATAGTGAAGACATTCATTTCTGTACATGTAAATTGACAAATTGTTTATAAATTACGCTGTCCACGTGGACATTTTTCACATCAAAGTAGTATTCCAATTGTATTCTCGAGAGGGTTTCTGTCAGAAACTACTGAGTTCGATATCTAACAAACGTGTCATAAGTTAACAAAATATAATGCTAAACAATATGACTATTTTGTAACTATTCTTTCTGATTTACAAGCTATATGTAATAAATGTCGATGTAGACTGCAATTTTGAACTGATTATTCATTTTATAACATAGTGGTGTATCCAAGTCAGATATCCAATTTCTTTCAATCTGAATAAATCAGTTTATTTGAGCTGAATTTGTCGAACTACTACTGATGGGCCTGGTCTTAAGAAATCGTTTAGTGTTTGGATTATTCTAACCTAGTTGCAGAAGTCCACGTGTCGTGATCCGTAGTTAATTGCTCATATTGTCCGGGGATGTGTTTTGTCGACTTAGTTACTCTTGTTATAACTTACGGGCAGCCGACACTTGTTATATTTCTTGGCCTGAGGTGACACTCTACTCTATCAACCGAAAGGTGTTGTGCCAGTGCCTGACTGTGAATCGAGGACCGAAGAAATATGTAACGCTGATTTAAGCTCCCTACCCGAATTCATGGAGATTTTTTATCTGAATTGACAACAAATAGTGGTATCCGCCACTGATGCCCACTGTTACCGTTGCTGTTCACCTTCGTTATAGATTTACTAATGGGTATAGGTTTAAGTACTTCTAACTTCACAGAGATTGATGTAATCCGTGAAAGGCATGTGTTTGACTTGGAGTACACAGACGGTATTACCCTACTAATGAAGACGCTGACGAAGTGCAGAGTCTTCTCAATGCCTTGAGCAGAAATGTGAGTATATTTTATACACGTTTCTTGCCCGTTAAATGAGATGACGCTTTACGAATAGTCTGCAACTATTTTCAGCTTGAGGATAGGGAGTGAAGTGGTCGAATGCGTTGGTCGCTTCACTTACTTGAGGAGTTACATCATCCCGAATGGGCTGGTTGCTGACGAAATCTCGGCTCGGAAGCAGAAGACCCGTTTAACATTTGCCAACTGGTGAGATATCGGACTACCTATCAAAGGATGAGTATACTGTGCTGCAGTCCGTTCTGTACTGTTGTACGGCTATAAGACAGCCATTGAACGTATGGAGAGACTGCAGGTGTTTTCTTACCATTTCTCACACATAGTGGCAATCACTGCATAAATAATATCAAGACTGAGCGAAGGATATTGGACAGTGAATCGAAGGTCTGGGAATTTTGAGTGACTGAGGTGGTTTGGACATGTAATACGCATGCTGAGCCGCCGCATATCTGGATATGCACTGCTAACAAGGTGGGTTAGACTGCAAGAGGGCTCTGAATGATAAGACCAAGATGGGGCACCAGTGAAAGAAGTCCCTGAGTGTTGTCCTGAGCCGTATACACTTTCTGGTCCTTGATATAGTAGGCATAGATAGTTGGAGAACGTTATTGATATGGTTGAAAATCGATCACAATGGCGCAGATGTACTTGCTATTTGATGTCTTCTAGAGGTTGAATATTTTCAAAAACCATTTTTAAATTCCTCGCACACACATTTGTCCACTTTGATATCAGTTTCTTCTATCCACTCGTACTTCACATGTTACTGTGAAGTGTGACAACTTCAACTAATGCACCCGTGTGCGATGTTCTACAATGATTATGTGTCTGACTCTGGTTACTTATTGGTATGGTTGGCTTGGAGATCCTTCAAGTTACAGAATTCAAATCTACGCTTTTCTTTAACAATATCTTCATATTCACTTTGATAGACATATTTGTGCTCTCATACAGGTCCCATAAAAACATTCAGAAGACAGTCAAAGTAAACGAATGTGTATTTTTGTCCAAAATGCATCAGGCCGAAGTTTCCAAAATAAGGGTTTTGTATGATACAATATGCACATGTACGAAGTGGAAACCATTCATTGTGGTAGGGCGGTGATGTTACACAATCAAATGGTTGCCAGTGATTAATCGAAACAGCGTTAGATAGATAAGAAAACATACGGAATCAGTTTGAAATTACACTTAAAGTGAGTAGAAGTTAAATTATGAAGTATGCAAGCAGAGTTAGTGATTAGTACTATACTTCCGGTCACCATCAACAGTCGGTCCATTGAATAATACCATTCATTCCTCTCAATGACTAGATGTAAAGTCATCTTATTTGTATGCTATATCGTGCAGGAATCTTTATATTCAGGGGTCTGGGTTTGATGAGAATTTAGCAAAAACTACATATTTGCACAACTATGTTGCTAGATAATTGAATTTTATCGAGTTAATATTCTGTATTGATGTGAATCTTGTATGAAAGGTATTACTAGACGACTTCTAGTGAATTTTACTTTAAATACTCTGACGTGTTGTGTGTAAAATACTGTGCCAGCGTGATGTAAAATGATTTTTTCTATGATATGTTTTTCTTACTTCATTTTTGTGAATTACCATCAATGTCATGGTTTTTTGAGAGATTTTAGTTATTCTCCTAAAATCTCATTACTATCAATTCTTTGAAATAAAAGATGTAGTAAAAAACTAGTCTTCTTGCACCAGCTTTGGAATCAGTGAATTCTGTTTTATTTTTTCGTATTGATTGAGCGAAACAGTATATTTAAGTCTTCGGCTCTGCACTAATATACAAGTTTACAATTCAGTCAAAATAACTGGTAAAGTAAATAGTATCTTTTTATCGAGTGGTCAGTCATAAACAATAAATAATTACGTAAGAATAAAGGAACAATTGAATATTGATAAAACAAGAAGGGTAGTGGGTTGCAGATCAGTACTCAAAGTTACATCTTATTGATGGACGCTGTGATGAAGGTGATTTAACACATTTCTTTGGAATACTAAGGTCAGGTTTGCAAAGGTAGATTGCAATCGCCTCTACTGTGTGAAGTAAATGAATACACAGTCTGTGTGGTAAATTAATTGGTGTACGATAAATAGTTTTAAATGCTTTGTTAGCATCCACTTGGTATCTAATATCAGCTAAGTGTGCAAGATGGAGCTCGTTAATATTTTAATCGATCCCTTATTGTTCTTTGATAGGTGGTGCTCATGAATACGACAATGGACCTACCTCATTGTATGCCCTGTGTAACTGGGTCCATAGGAATGGTTGAACTGTTAACTGCACACGGAAGTGGCAAGATCAGGCAGTTTTTCTTTATTTTTTGTACTTCGAATCGAGCAGCTGTAGAAAATGGTAAATAATTTATCGTGTGGAAATGCTGTTTGTAGGGATGTTTTTATACTAACAACATTACCCTTGAGTTATAGTTTTGAGAGGAGTTTCTTAGGAATTGTTAGCATTCTTGACTCAATCTTCGCAATATTAATATTCTTTGCTACAAACTTTACTAGATAGCCATTCCTACTAAACAGCTTACGAATGATATGTTAACTCTTCCTCGATAGCATCGTCAGAACGAATAGATGTGGCACTATATACTAGGCGTTTCAACACGTTCCGCTTCTGTTGAAGAGATATGGCACTGAGGAAGTGCATGCATTGACCTATCGATGTTGGATTGAATGTTTTTATTTGTTTATTCGGTAAATTTACCTATGGAATAAATGTTTGTAAAATATTCCTACTGTTGGTGTGGTCACGAGGAGTAATTTTGCTCGAAATATTACCAAAATAAAAACTTATCATTGTGTGTAAGCTTTGCACTAAAATTTTATTTATAATGTAGTATTAACAACTGACTCAGATAAAGTCTCACTGTTGTTAACACACATTTATTCTTTGATGAAACAATATGGAAATGTAAATGTACGGTCTGAGTAAGAGTTTTTTAAAAAGAATGTTCTATATTGATCAGAATGTCTTTTCACTTATAATGGGAATTTTCAAGGATTTGATAAAATGTCATAGTAATGATTAATAGTGGCTATCAGTGGATTTTAGGATACTCCTTTCGTCCTGTGTGGGACTGGTCAGATGGAAGTACCTCCATCCCAGTAAGTTATGTTTTTCTCGCTAATACTCGAAACCGGGACCGAGCAACATTAGAATCGATAAAATGATTGAATAAATGAATAAATTGTTGTGTATTAAAAGCAGTAATTACTTTCACATGCTTTTTGTATTTAATGGACATCAAGGAAGAATGGATCCGAAAGAAACTGTATTCACTGCTGACGTTCAGTAAGGGGGATATATTGTAGTTAACAGAAACAGTAAAGTAATTTAGCATTGTTTCAGATATCTCAGCAGCTGATGTGGCAAGAACTTCGATGAGGTCAATAAGAGCAAATCAAAGTTGTAAACTATTACAGTAAGTTTATATAAAAGAAACTCTTGTCTAGGACGTTGTCCAATCACCAGTCATTGTACGACACTCTATGTTACGTTTAATAACAGACGAGCGCACTCTCTTATTAATACTTGACTCTACTTTACATTACAAAGAACAAATGGCAATTAACCTACAAATAATGGTTGGATATTAATTAGATTTTTATATCTCCATTTGTATTAATTTCCCACTAGTATTAGTTGTCATTGGATTCAAGCGATTCGAGATTCATCATTTCCGTCTTAGTGATGTTGCTTTATTTCCACACTGAGCTGACAATAAGTAATAATAATAATAATTCAAACTCAAGTCTATGCAGCAAGATCCAGAATTGTAATTACATATTCGCAAGTCATTCTTAAATTCAGGCAAACAAATGAATCAAATTCTCAAATATTTTACTAATACATAAACCTGTAGGTTTGTGAGCAGAAATTTCAGT